CATGTTTGCTGACGTCACATGCCTCCCGCAGTCCCACCACCCATAAAATAAACTTAATATCGTCGAGAAAATCAACGGCTTTCCATGAAGGTAAAATCTTTTCGAAATAATGGAGGGGTTCCATCAAACACCAAAATCCCCCACCCCCAACGCCTTTTACGTCCGAGGGTTAAAAGATGCTTTACTAAATCATGACTTAACGGAATAAAACACGAAAGCCTCTTGAGGTGAAGTATGATGATTCAACCATCTTCCACAGTGATAAAGATTTGAACATTTCTATCCGGCAAAGTCTACATTTGGAGGATATGTACAGAAATCACACGTGAGCGAGGGCAGGAAAAGAAAGGGAGAGCTGTCAAGAGCTGGCCTTTTTTTCGCCGCCCGCTCTTGGGATTTCTCACAATCGAAAACCGACATGGAGATTATCTCGCTTAGCCTAGATAGACGAAATGGAGACCTTGCTTGCTGGCCAAAGCATTTCTTTATTCGCCCGCTAATTCGCTATTGATTTAGTGATTCAGAATTAAACGAAGCCAAAACAAACAAACCTACGCTGATTTCTTTCCGATTAAAACTGCTAACTAAAATAAGAAAGGGGTCATAAAAAGGTCTCAAGAAAACATGAACGACCGAATTTAATGCAACGTGTTTATTTTAAAGCTAGTTCCAATGAATTACAGTTTATTTCTAATGCTGTTGCGCAGTTTCAATCTTGCATCAACTATAAAATTGAAAACGAATCAATTCACTTCTGTCAAAACAAATCTATTAACGCACAAAACCAGTTAGAATCAAAGTTAAGCCGCTTAAACCTTTGACGGACGGATAACAATTATTTGCATTGAAATTCGGCACTACAAATTTCCTTTTAGCCATACGAATGCTTGTGCATTCTATTACGCCTTTTGACTTTGTTTGCTCAGCTCCATTACATCCGCGACGTCTTTTTCTGTCCACGATTCCAACAGGGTTTTCAGCATAGAAAAAAACGGACTCCTTTTCCGTAGGGTCGCAAACAGCTTTCCAGAAATATTTTGGCGTCTGAACTTGGTTGTTCAACAAAATGTTTGTTGCGCCACCTTTGATAATTAAAAAAAAAAAAACGCATTAGAGGAGCTCAGAGTTTAACATCTTTTCGTGGACAGCAATCAAGAGATAATGTATCTTTTAATCCAGTAATATATATTTTCTGGTTAAATTGCTAGCCTGAATTTCATCCGATTACTTCGAGTCGTTATTACTCCCTCAGTAACGTCTGAATCGACCGGCCGTTAATGCCGTCCAGTGACGTCACTACTCCTTGACCTTTGCTTTAATTCATGCAAAAAGTAAAACACCATTTTCAAGTGGCAAACCGAGAAATATCGTTACGAAATGTCTGCATGGTACAGAACTGCTTTATTTTTTTTGATTGTAATTCATGTTTAACGTTCAAACTATCAACTGCATGCAGTAAAAATCTGAACCGGTTGTACTAAATTCAAAAATCGAACTCGGTCGCAATCACGCAATGAAATAAACACTCACACGATGCACACGGAACACTTAGTTCAAAAACACAATGATTTGCTTTCATTGAAAACAAACTATTTGGTCCTTAACGAAGAAAAAAACAAGGAGACAAGAAAGAAAAGCTAACAGAATCATTACACTTGACGGTAAAAATAGCAAGAAGGCCGCGAATTTTAACATTGATCTCAGAAAACTTCGCGTAAACAAAATCACCGGCGCCGCCACAAAGCGGCTCTAATTGAAAAACCTACCGACTCTCCGCAATGATTCTTCATTCGCAGTTCAATTTAGCATGTCAGTTTCGAAGACAAGGGCAATTTTGCTGTTTAAGATAAAGATTAAGCTTATACGAAATGTTTGAACTAAACGAAAGAATGTCAGTGATGCGATCCGCTGAATATCAAGCGACAATCCCGCCAAAATCAACCAATCAAAATCACTACCCGGTTTTCGGGTAGTGAGTGACGTCACTGGACGGCATTAACGGCCGGTCGATTCAGACGTTGTTGAGAGGAGAAAACGACTCGAGGCAATCGGCAATCGAAGTTCTGTTACCAATTAATCATAACTTTAACAAAATTTGTGATATAACAGGCTATTTTTTAAATCAAAACACAAGAAATTCGAAATTTTGTTTTGCTAGCAGTGAAAAAAAAAGCCATTTAAGCGCGCGCGTGATGGCGCGTACTGTCCAATTACTTAGGCATGACGCGTACTGTCCTATTAACTGTCCAATTAAGGCTGAAATCAGGGCAGTTGATAGCCAATCAGATTTGACAATTTTGTTATGGTTATGATTAAAACAAAAATATGGTGTAGTTGATTTTTTATCTCAGGTAATTTGTGTTTTTCTTTTGTTTTAGGTATGGTAATGTATGCTAATGAAGTTGACACAAGAGAAAAATGAAAATTACCTGAGCTATATGAACAATCGAAGGTTACTACCACAGTCACATACCAATTTGAAAGGTGAATGTATAATCGTCTCGCCGATTTCGCAGGACGTTAGGAAATATTATATCGCCGATCTGTTCGGTTGTTTTAAAGAAACCTAGTTAATAAGCTGTGTAAAGTAAAACTAAACGCAAAGAAAGGGAGCAGATTTTCTCTAAAAAGATTTTAGATAACCCTATTCTTTCCTTTCGCTTCGGATAATATGGCCACCAAAATTACCCAGAATAATGTACTCATCATTTCCAACATCTAGGCATAAGGTGATTGACGCAACACGTAGTTTGACGTCGTTATGACGTCATATTGTTTAATTCGTTAGCGAATCCAAATTCCCCTCAAAGTAACCATAATTACCAATGCTTATTTGATTTAGTGAAACGCATCACCGGTAGCAGAAAAAAAAGGAAAAAACAGACTAGAGTTACATGTACTGTTCCCTACTTCCTGCTTGATCCAGGGCAATGACTGTTTACATGTAATATGGATATTTTGGTGACATTATATTATACGTGTTGTGCAAGTTATTTCAACATTTTTATTCACTTGTGGACACCACGAAATTTATGAATTACAAACATTTTAATGATGAAATGACAACCTACACAAAACAATAAGCGAAATCAAAAAGGTTAAAACTGAATACTGTAAATGTACTTCATGGGAGAAAACTGCCTTGATGGTTAGGGTTACCTATTAGTATTACCTTTGAGATTCATATTTATCGTAATCCTGGAATCTCAGTTCTGTTTAGCTCTCAAATTCTAACTAAGGATACATACCCTCAACGAAACAAAAAAGAACAGAAAGAAAGTTCAATTTCAGCCCACAAGTCAAAAGTATTTTAAGACTTGCACGCAGTCCGTAGCACTCGGAAGCTTTTTTGATGAGCCTGGAAGTCTCGTTTTCGCAATTTTTTAAGCGTCTCGGAGTATCTATGTTTTTTTTTTCTTGCCGAAAGGTCTGGAGTCTCCGATTTGTCGATTTTTCGTTTGGTTTTCAGAAGTCACGTTTTTTATAGTTTAAGGGCACAAGTTATCGAACTCAACGAGGAAATTAATACTGTGTCACACGACTCACATTTTAGATTATACTTATTAGGCTTCAATTCTGTTAATGCCGTGCATACTCATTTGTTCAGGTTTTCCGATTGTTGCCTCTCCTACTCGGTTTTGGCTCGGATTTTCTAAAATCGTTGAAGTTTCGGTCTCGGGTCTCGGTGTCTCAGCGAGTCTCGGATCTAGTTACCATTTACCACCACTAAATCTGCCAGTGATAAAATTCCGGGAGAAATGAACAAATCTGTACAAGATACGAATCAAGTGTTACATAGTAATTCAGTAAGTAAAAATAATAATCGCTGGCTGGCTGGCCCTGCAGTGCATTAAAAGTCATTTTACCATTCGCAGTTTATTCAGTGCAATAATACTTTATCGTCTAAAGTAAGCAAAATATCAAGTGTTGCCTGCCTCAGAGCTATGTTATGTTAAAATCAAGGCAAAGAGAGATTGGTGCCAACATATCAGACTTTCTGGATGCTCAGTTTGCTTGTGCACCCATGCTCCTCCCCCCTCCCCCACCTCTAACAACTGCGGGGCATTTGCCCGCCGTTGTAAGTCCAAGGGGTGGGGCATTAGCCAATTTTGTGCGGCCCAGGGATCGGGCATTTGAAAACCCCGGGGCCACCCCCGATCTTTTGGCTCTTACGTGCAGATGGCGTTTTTTTTAGGTATGTTTTCTCGATTTTATGCCTGCATTTCTCCAGTGCTGATCAAACCAAAAGTCGGGAGCTATCGACGTGAATCAACACATTTTCTTTGGTTATATATGGAATGACATTTCTATTGGTCTAGGATATGATATTTCTAATTCTACTATGATCTATCTATTATTTTAGGAACTTGCTTTACTTTTTCATATTGTTGAACTATTCAGTATAACAGCGCCCTACCAGCGAACTATTCAAAAGAAGATAAACAGCAATAATAAGAATCATAAATGTGAGTCAGGTCTCACTTAAAATGGCACTCTTACAAACGTAGAGGTTAAACGAGAAGAAAAATCACACATTAAAATGCACTACCCGACTGTGCGATCAATGAAAAGTCGTGCAGTGTTGATTGAGGACGGGGCATTTGCCCTCTTTTTTCCGTCCCCTTCTCGGGGCATTTGGTAGCTTAAGTGTCCACCAGGAATTTGCCATCCAACATATATGACGTATAACTACTGCAAAAACTCAGATTTGTGCACTCTTCCTAGATCTCTTTTCAGATGGCAAAATGTTTCTTGCACGATTTTTCTTTTGACACTTACCTACACCGGTGAAAACATAAACGTTTCTGTTCTTTCTGTTTACGTAGGTTCTTATAGCTCTTTCCAGGGCATACCAGTTACCCATATTAAACAACTGCCACTGAGGGGCGACGTTGGTCATAATAAACGTGAGAGCTCGCTCTGCATCGCTACCAAAATCCGCGTTGGGTACCAGATGTCCTCTGGCTAGGTACCGTCGACTCGGCGGTGGTTTAAAATTGTTGTATAAACCTCCTTGATTCTTGGTAAGATAGTCATCTGATGTGGACTGAGGATTTGGGCCTTTTAAGAATAATAAAATACGTTAACCAAATTACAGTTAATAATAAGTAACACTCTTGTTACCCAAGGAAGGCACTGTAGAAACTTTCTAAACACCCAACCTTAAGAAGGCCCAAAATATCTCTGTAATATAGGCCTAGGTTGATTTTGATTTAATCCTTATTCAGACTTGGCTATTTCGGGCTCTCAGGGACCGGAGTGGGAGTCGGGGGCTTCGGAGGGATCCCTCCATATCTATGACTTTAAAACCGCCTATGATATACAGCCACCATAATTATGCAAAATAATTTACTCATCTGATTTCCATTAACTAGGTTTAATTTGATTAACCTAATAACATTAACCCTCGGACGTACACGCAAACTCATACCCCCACCATAGTACAAGGGGGGTGGAGGAAAGGGGGGGGTGGATGAACCCCTCCCGGAGTTTTTAATATGTTGTAGTATTTCGAAACGATTTCACCTTTGGTGGAAAGCCTTTGATCTTCTCTACAAGATGAGGTATATTTTATGTGTGGTGGCGCTGCTGGAAGCCTGTGACGTCACCAAGAATGGTCGCCATCTTGGATTTTATCAAGAATTAGAAATTAGGTTAAAACCGCGAGAAATGGTAATGTTTTGGTGCTTTACATGAACAAGACGCTACGGAGCGTACACTTCGACGTCGTGGTTGTGGAACTAATTAATTGTAAATGCGGAGGAAAAGTAAGAAATCAAATATGGTAAGAGTAAGGTGTTAATTTGTGAAATTATGGGATTTGTCAGGATATTCTGAAAAGAGCAACATCCAAGAGGCCTACTTGCCAAAAACTAGCATTTCGGAACAAATTGTCTCCGGGATGCTCTGATGGCTCCATACAAATCCTTCTAAAAAAACAATTCTCCATTTTTCTTAGTCACATCAGGCTTCAAAAACAGCATAGCAGTCTCATGTACTGATTAAAGATATGTAAGGCATGGGTAAGGAGTCAATTACGTTGAGCATGGAATTGGCTAAAACTCAAAGTCACGAGTTCGAATGTTTTGAGGATAATTTATCACTGACTATCAGCACGCAGGGATGTCGGATTAACACAAGGAAGTTTAATACCAAAGGAACATAGCCTTTACAGAGCTTTAAAACACAGCATCCACCAACACAAACTTGACTTGAACTTTGAGTAAAACTAAACAGCCTCTACCAATAATAACAAACTCTCATTTGAACTTCAGATATCTTACGGCTTCCGCGAACTTGTGAACACAATACCTGAAAATCGACCTTCGTCACACTTGACTAAACACAGCAGTCCAGCTCGTGGGAAAAAACTTAGTTCTTCAAAAGAACTCGCTTGGAACTTGTATACCGTTTGACATAAGGTTCTAGAAAATACTAAACAGCAGGCGAATAGTAGTAGCTTTTCGACATATTTTATGATTTCAGTAACTGATGCAAATCTGCTGACTCATGCTGAAATGTAAACATGCCCTAATTAATTATTCATGGCTAATCCAAAAACGTAGAGAACGTTCGAGAAAGTCACGCAACGCATGAAAGCAATTTTACTACGTAACACTCAACAAAGACAAAATGTCTTTTTGCAGCATTTTGTAACTTTAAATTCATCATAAAACAGTTGGAAAGGAGGGCTCACTCGTGAAATGTTTTTCAACACTCGAAGAGAAATTTCGTGTCTCTGTGCGGCCACGAAATATCCTGTATTTATTCCTCGAGTAATTAAAGACTAAACTCGAAGTGATCTCAAGATATCACGAAGTAGTCCGGTCTCATTTCGTGAAATAGTTGAAACAAGCCGAAAAGTCACGAACTTGCACGCCCAATCTTGTCCCGAAACTAGTGCATCATTTCATAACTATTTTTCATTTCCCAAACTACCTTGGGTCGCAGTAGCGCAATCGGCAACTTAGAGTCTCCTCTGATCTGACGGGTCACACAGGTGAGTCGGTTCAAACCCCGGGAAAGCCAAAATAATAATTCTTTCTTCCTCGAAAAAGTTAAAGAATAAATCAAAGAAATCGAAGTGATCTCGAGATATCTCAAATTAATTCGGCTCTCACTTCGTCAAATAGCCGAATAAACCGAAAACCTACAGACTTTGCATGCCCAATCTTGTCAAAAAATTGTAACTTTGATACATTCCTGAGCGTCGCGAAACCTTTACTTCGCGTTCCGCCGAAGTAAAAATAACACATAAATAAGTACTTTGCATGATTCTAGCCACAAAATTTACTTTTATTGTTGAATGAAGTTGAAAAAACATGTATTTTCACCCAAAAATGGTTTGACCACCTGCTAATGATGAAGTCATATCTCGTAACCATAGCAACTGACCATCACTTAACTTGTCTCAAAATGTGCGCAAATGATGAACGAACAGCTACTGAAAACGTCAGGTGCTGATGTTTTATCCTCTGGGAAAAAACTCAGAAAATCCTTAGGGGGGGTGACATCCACCACCGCCCCCCCCCCCTTGTACGTTCGAGGGTTAATGTGACGGAACCATTACGTAGTATTTTTGAATTTATTGGCTGAACTCATACTTTATCAGCTTTCCTCTAATAGTAGTCATAAAGCCGCAGCAGCCATAGAGTGAAAAATACTCAAATAGACAGGAGTCTGTCAAATTAATTAAATTGGCAAACACTTTGATAATCGTCAAAAATACCGGTGACGTCATAATCACGCTATTTAGTAACAAGGGGAACCTCAGGCAACAAGAACGTTGACGTCCCGGACGTCCAAAACGGCAACCAGAAGTTGATATTTTCTCTTTTTCAGTGCTCTGACTCGACAAATTCGAACAGCGGTAGTCAGAACAAAGGTATTCAGATTCGTTGAACCCTTCCATCAAGTGAGACATCGAACTTCCGGTTGCTATTCATGACTTCCGGTGAGTCAGCGTTCCCCTTGCTTAAGCTCGCTAAAGAAGGAAATTGAACCATGTGCCATCATAAATCTGAAACTTTTAATTACAACTGTAATCAAATGTATACCATTTTGGTTAAAATCCATGTAAATCGACACAGCAGAAAAACGTACGTTTCCGCCACATGTGGCGGCTCCGACGCGACAGGCAATTCAAACAGCTTACTAACTTTAATATAAAATCAACAAATCAAATATGCCAGTGAGTAACAAATGAAAGTTGTTAAAAAATTGAACTCGACATCTGCCAAAAGAAAATTTTAAATCCATTTTTTTTCAAGAATCAGTTACTAAAACCCTTGGATTACTTTGGAAGTTAAAATAAAATTGTTACAATATGATGCTCAATAAAGTGCAATGTAGCAATTCGGTGGGTAAATCTTCAAATGAAACATCGCGGCGACTTGAAAATGTTTCAAGAGAAATTTTGAATTATTATGATGTCATTTATTACCAAAAAAAAAAAAAACTGGAACCATCCGCTATCTTGGATCCGCCATTTTGAATTAATCAAATGCATCCCATTTTACTTAACAAACCTATTTATATGCGTATTGGTTATATTCTTGATTTGAGTTTTTTAGAATGAAAAATTCAACCGATTTCTACGATTTTTGGCATCCTTAATAAATAATAATGGAACTTTAAGAACATTGTATTTATTTTCTTGTAGGTATAAAAACCTTTGAGATATTGGCATTTATTTAAAACCGCATTTTTACGAAAAATGTACATAACTTCGAAGTCCCACGACAGATTTTTCCCTAACTTCAGCAAATAAGCCTAAGAACTCTCTAGTTTTACATCTGCAAGTTTGAAGGCAATCGTGACCTTAGAACTTGCTGCACAAAATTCTGGTCAAATTTAACCTTAAAATGCTACGCTAACACATTGGTGAAAGTTTGCGCACAAATAGGCCACTTGCACTAAGAGGTCACATGACCAATGTCTCCTTTAAACAAACACTTGGAATCCTGTTGATGATAAAAATTGATAGAGGGCATAAAAATTATCTTACACCCGAAATTTGAGATGAAACGCATTTAAGGGAGATATTCTATGGCACCTTGATTTTTCAACAAAGTAGTTTGATTTGTATTGGCCGCCATGTTGGAGGGCATTGTCTTGCCCTCCAACATGGCGGCTAAAACTACTTTTTGATTGTATCTTGTTAAACGTTTGATAGTTACGCTCAGATGTGTTGTAAACGTTATCGCATCATCTTTTCAACAATTTCCTTGAATTTAAGTACAAAATTTCTGTTCCGAAAGAGGTAATTCGTAGTTTTAAAAATCACATTTTGGTCACGTGACCAGCTACGAACTTATTCATTTTAAGAAAGTGGTGCGGGTTTGAAAAACTAAATCACTATTATTTTGTTTAAGATATGACCCACTAATCGTTTTCTGAAGGCAAAATCATATAACTTTCATTTTCATAAAAATGTCACATGACCTCTTATTGCAAATGGCCTATCTGAAAGGATATTCCTACCTAAAGCTTTATTGAAAGAAACAGAGTAATCAGAAACCTACGGCGAACATAGGCAGCACTACAAGAAGAACAACTGTGTTCAACAACCAACCGGCTATCTTTTTAGAATTTGTTCTTCTGCTTTTATAAATAATTAAACTTATGAATTCACATAATTTTTCTCAAAATTCACATTTGTTAAATTTATCGCATTATGTAATGATTTGAGTAATAATTTGTTATCAAATACTACTGATGACACTTGATTATCCCTATTTATTATCTATATAGTATTAACTGTAACTTTATGTTAAAGCTTTTGCAATACTGTAACTTCATATAGCTGATATAGTCATGCAAATAAAGCTTATGTTTGTTGTTGTAGTTATTTATTTATTTTATCTTTGTTCGCTTTTTTGTTGCTGTTGTCGTTGTTGTTTTTTCTTTTCTTTTTTTTTAAATACATTTGTTCTTCTTTTCCCATCCTATCAGCTCTTCTCCACAGCCTCACGAGGTTTTGGGATACGAGCAATTCGAGTTATACAGGACAACGACAAACATTTGTTCTTGTGGGACGTAAAAGAACCCACATCACTATTCTAAACGAGTAGAGGTCGTAGACCCCGGTGGTGTGGCCAACCTTTACGGGTTGTAGGATTTGGTAGGGATGGCACGTCGGACCTGAGTCCCGTTCGTGCACATTCCCTCTGGGCAGTCCTGTGTCCAGAAATCTGGTAAATAAATAGATAAATAATGAATAATTAAATAAATAAAATACTTACCAAATTGCCCAACATCACTTTCAAATCCGCTGGCCCCTCTTCCCGAACCACCATGTGGTTGAACGATATGACCTGTGAAGTCTGGAGTCAGTGTCTGCGTGTTGTAGCAAACGGCAAATGAAGCCGTTCCTGCGTTTGGATCAGTCGCATAACACAGTCCTGTCCCTACGTTGCATTGAATGGCATTGGTAATAATTGAAGCCGTCCTCCAACCAGAGAAAAGACATGCATTGATGTCATTAGAGAAAGCATTCTGGGGAACATTTTTTGTTGAACCTGCATGGTGAAAACATGTCTTTTAATTAAATAACATATTAGATATGGCCTCCCCAAGATGGTTAATGATTATATGTAGATGCTATCTAAAAGAAAAGTTTCTATTTGCATATTTTCAACCGAAAAGCCTTGAGCTATTGAAGCGAAAATTACAAAGCAATCTATTCTAACTGAATCGAAATCGGCAAATTATATAAACTTGAATATTTTACATCTGATAATGCCAGATCGTACATTCAAAAAAAGTACTCGAGCGCAACTGCATCCAATCGAAAACCATGCATTAAGTGCGGAAAGTTGGAAACGATCATGGTTTTTCTTTAACGGTGCTGTAAAGTCGTCAACACCTTTCGAACTATCTGATACTAGATTAGTCCTGGACCGCTGTTAAGCCTAAAGTAAAGCCTCGTTTATTTAAAAATACTTTTGACAATTCAAGATTCATACAGAAGCAACTTATTGCTTACTTCAATTAAACTGGCTAATCTTTTTCAAGATAAATGCAAGCTACATGTTTTCTTTGCCTTCCACCCCAATAATTTAAGTGTAGAAACAGGCGTACGCAACGGCCATAACCAAATATTTACGAATGGGTAGGTTTTCAATTTATTTTCTATAGGGGCACTTCCGGGCCTTTGTCCACGTCCACGTCCACGACCTCGTCCACGGCCTCGTCCACGGCCTTGTCCACGGCCTTGTCCACGTCCACGTCCTCCTCCCTATCCACGTCCACCCACCCTACCCTGCCCGCGCTCACGTCTACCTCTTACAGGGGGTACACGTCCACGCCCACGTCCAGGGCGTTGTCTACCTTGTCTAGCAGTGTTAGGCCGATTTTGTCACCCACCTCTTCTTCGTCGTGGATCTTAAATGATGAAATAAATGAATAAATAAATATAACAAGGCAGATAAATTTGTAACCCTTAGCTGTCCTATCAGCCTTGTTTTTAATTTTAAATCTTACATGAAATATGGGTTTGAAACAGTACATAGAATATAACTATACCAGTTTTAGAGCCAGCCTAAGCCTGATTGTACCTGCTGAAAACACTTTTCGAGGTTCTTTTGGATTCAAGAAGGATTTTTAGATGTACCCATACTTTAAAATCCCATGTTCAAGCCGCCCCTCCCCCCCCCTTCCGGGTTTTAGTCCTCCTGGATATAAGTCCATCCATTTACTAACGAAAATTTTATTCAGCAAATAAGCCCCCCACTCCCATGGTTTCGCTCATTTTTGGGATTTGGAGGATCAGAAAATTCAGGTAGGGAGGGATTTAAAAATGAGAAGATTTTTACTTCATGAAGTTTAACCAATGTGTCAATTCATTTCAGGCATGATGACCTAGTTAAAAGGCTTAATTAAGTAGATGCATAAACAGAAAGTTACTAGTTGGGATCGCGAAAATTACTTTATCCCAAAAGTGACTAAGGTGTAACCTGAGATCAGGGCCAATTTTAGCGGTTCTCATACATTCTCTCTAACGGCTACCGCTAAAAGTTGGGCCTGATACAAACTCTCACAAGTTTGTGCTCACTGCGGCCAGATTGCCGCAGTGATTGCCGCAATGCTGATTGGCTGTTAGAACAATGCCACAAGATCTCTCTCGTTGACTGTTTGCTCTTTTTTAATTTCGATTAATAAATTTAGCGAGCTTTTCAGACCTGCAGTAAAACAACAACACAACTAAAGAGAACTACAAAGTGTGTTTGTAATATTGTTTTTCGTTTTGTTTATAGGTGAGTTGAGCATGCATTTTTAGTAGTGTCGTTTCGTCTTTCCAAATTGGCAGATTATATTTACCTGGATTTATAAAAAATATATATATTTTTTAGACGTTTGTTCCTCCAGTAAATTCGCAAATTGTAAGTGTACTCACGGGACTAAATCAGCTAAATTAAATGCACTTGAGAACTCGTTTGGTTTGTTCTGAGATAATTTGTATATCCTTTGAAAAAGTTCACGATTCATTTCTCCAAGAT